TACCCACTTCCCATATTGGTTGTTCCTGTGTTTGATTCCTGGCTCTACTTCCAATACCACCTTCCTGCCGCTGTGAATCCTGGGAGGCAGCAGGTGATATATCAAGCATTCTAATCTCTGCAACCCACTTAAGAGACCTGAACTGAATTCCTGACTCCTGTCTTTGGCCTAACCCACCCTTGGCTATTGTGGCCTTTGGTAATTGAAGAAATACATTGGAGTTCCCTCTTTGTCCACATTGGTCTCTCTACCTTTTAAATAAATATAAATAAATACAATTTTAAATTTATTGATACTTAATGTATACACTAACATGTGATGCAGTCTATCCATGAAAGTGTTCCATATGTACTTTGAAGAACATGTATGCTGTTATTAATGGGTGGAATGGTCTATGTCTTGTGCTAGGTAAAGCTAGTTTATTATGTTAAGTCTTCTCTTTCCTTATTTATCTTCTTTCCAGTTGTCCTTTCCATTATTGAGAATGTGTTGTTGAAGTACCCAACTATTATTATAGAACTATGTCTCCTATGATTTCTAACAGTGTTTGCTTTTTATATTTTGATAGTTATTAGGTGTGTAACTGTTTATAACTTTATCTTCTTGCTGAATTGAAATTTTTCTTAACATATAATATCTTTGTCTCTTGTAACTTTTTGCCATGTAAGTCTATTTTTGTGGGTATTAATATAACCACTCCTGCTCTCTTATGGTTATTAATTTCATAAATTTCATAAATATCTTTTCTTGTCCCTCATTTTCAGTCTGTTTGTACCTTGGATCTTAAGTGAAGTTTTCATAGATATAACATCATTAGCTCATGCTGTTTAATCCATCCTACCAATTTAACCCTTGATTGAAGAGTTTAACCCATTTAATGTGATTATAATGATAAGGAAAGATTTAATTCCATCATTTGGCTATTTTTATATATCAAAATTTTTTAATCCTTCATTTCTTGCATTACTGTATTCCTTTATGTACAATTGAATTTTGTAGTGAAACATTGAAATTCTTTTCTCATTCCTTTTTGTGTATATATTGTAGCTCTTTTCATTGTGTTTACCATGAAGATTACATTTAACATCCTAGTTATAGCACTCTAAATTCAATTTGAACACAGATTTAACTTCAATGACATAGAAAAATTCTGTTCCTTTATAACTCTATATCCAACCCTTTTTGGTTGTTGATGTCACAAAATTAACAACCTTATACAATGTGTGCCCCAAAGCCTAAACTAATGATTATTTTAAATGACTTAGTTTCAAAAAAATTTTTTTTTATTTGACAGAGTTATAGACAGTGAGAGAGAGAGAGACGGAGAGAAAGGTCTAGCCGATCCAAAGCCAGGAGCCAAGTGCTTCCTCCTGGTCTCCGACGCGGGTGCAGGGGCCCAAGCACTTGGGCCATCCTCCACTGTCCTCCCGGGCCACAGCAGAGAGCTGGACTGGAAGAGGAGTAACTGAGACTAGAACACAGTGCCCATATGGGATGCCAGCACCACAGGCAAAGGATTAACCAAGTGAGCCATGGCGCCAGCCACAGTTTAAAATTTTGTAGAAAACAAAATATAGAGTTAGAAACCAAAGTTACAGCAATACTACCTTTAAAATTAAAATATTTTTTAAAAGTTTTAGTCTCTTAAAGTATGTAGAAAATAAAAATATGGGGCTGGCGCTATGGCACAGGGGGTTAAAGCCCTGGCCTGTAGCGCCAGCATCCCATATGGGCACCGGTTCAGTCCCAGCTTCTCCACTTCCAATCCAGCTCTCTGCTATGGCCTGGGAAAACAGTAGAAGACGGCACAGGTCTTTGGGCCCCTGCACCATGTGGAAGACCTGGAAGAAGCTCCTGGCTCCTGGCTTCAGATTAGTGCAGCTCTGGCCATTGCGGTCAATTGGGGAGTGCACCAGTGAATGGGAGACCTCTCTTTCTCTCTGGCTCTACCTCTTTTTGTAACTCTGTCTTTCAAATAAATAAAATAAAATTTAAAAAAAGAAAAGAAAACTATGAACCATTGTTACAATAAGCTAAAATTACTCATGTATTTACCTTTAGAGGTATCTTTATTTCTTCACACAGCTTTCAGTTACTGTTTGGTCTTCTTTTATTTTACCTTACCCAACATGAGCATTTCTTGCAAGGAAGGTCTAATAGTAATAAGCTCCATAGGCTTTTGTTTAATCTGGAAAGGTCTTAATTCCTCCCTCACTTTGAGAGACCGTGTTTCTGGATATAGGGTTCTTGGTGGACAGGTTTTCTTGTTCTATTTAGCATTTGGATTTTATTAGCCCACTGCTTCTGGCCTTCAAAGTTTCTAGTAAGAAACCTGCTGCTAACCTTACTGAAGATTTCTTCTGGGTAATGAGTCATATTTCTCTTGCTTGAAGATTCTGTCTGGGTCTTTGCCTTTCAAAAGTCTGATTCTCATGTGTTTTGATGCAGAAATTTTGTGTTCAGCTTTTTTGGAGTTTGTTGTGATTTGGGGATGTTTATGTTCATGTCTTTAACCAAATTTGAGATGTTTTCACCCATTGTTTCTTCAAATATTCTCCCTGCTTCCTTCTCCCTTTCTTCTGCTTTTTGGATTCCCATATATGTATGTTATTGTGCTTGTCAATGTCCTCTTGGATTATGTTTACCTTTTGTCAATATTTTTTTCTTTATGTTCCTCAGATTTGATCATTTTTATTATCCTTTCTTCAAATCCACTGACTTCTATCTACTCAATTCTGCCTTTGGATCTTTCTAGTGAATTATTCAATTATTGAACTTTTCAGCTCCAGAATTTTTTTGTTTATTTAGGTATTAACTCCCATCATTGATATTTCCATTTTGTTCATATATCACTTTCTTGACTTTATCCATGTCTTCCTTTGTTTTTGTTTTTAGCATCTTTAAAAGAGCTGTTTTAAAGTCTGTTTAACAGTGCTGTGGTATAGTGGGTAAATCTGCCACCTGCAGTGCCAGCATCCCAAATGGGTGCCAATTCAAGTCCCAGAAGCTCCACTTTTAATCCAGCTCTCTGCTATGGCCTGGGAAAGCAATAGAAGATGGCCCAAGGTCTTGGGCACCTGCACCCAATGTGGGAGACCTGGAAGAAGCTCCTGGCTCCTGGCTTTGGATTGGCAGAGCTCCAGCTATTGTGGATATCTGGGGAGTGAACCAGCAGATGGAAGACCTTCCTGTCTCTCTCTCTCTTTCTCTCTCTCTTTCTCTCTCTGCCTCTGCCTCTGCCTCTCTCTAACCCTGCCTTTCAAATGAATAAATAAATATTTTTAAAAAAAAAAGTCTGTTTAGTAGATCTGCCATCAAGTCTTTTTGAGGGACAGTTTCTGTATTTCTTTTCTTTGAATGGAACACACTTTTCTAATGTGCCTTAATATGTGTTTCTTAATATACCTTGAGATTTTTTTTGCTGAAAAGTATACATTTGAATCTAAAAATGTGGTAACTCTGGGAATTAGATTTCCCCCCTCTGTAGGACTTGCTTTTTGTTTTTTAAATTATTGTAGGTGGGGCCAGCGCTGTGGCACAGTGGGTTAATGCCCTGTCCTGAAATGCCAGCATCCCATATGGGTGCCAGTTCTAGTCCCAGCTGCTCCACTTCTGATCCAGCTCTCTGCTATGGCCTGGGATAGCAGTAGAAGATGGCTCAAATCCTTGAGCCCCTGCACCTGCGTGGGAGACCCAGAAGAAGCTCCTGGCTTCGGATCGGCGCAGTTCCGGTCATTGTGGCCAGTTGGGGAGTGAACCAGAGGATGGAAGACCTCTCTCTCTCTCTCTCTCTCTCTCTCTCTCTGCCTCTCCTCTCTATGTGTAACTCTGATTCTCAAGTAAAAAATAAACAAATCTTTTTAAAAAATTATTGTAGGCTGCCTATGTGCCAAGGATCTGCATGTGTTTTAAACCTAAATTCTCTTCAGGTCTTCTTCAGAAAAGATTGCATCTTTACATGGATGTGTGAAATTACTTAAATTTCCCCCATATATACATTTAATTTTGAATGACTTAGTCTATAATATCTGCCTCCCAAACATGAAAAAAGAAAACTGAAGGGGGAAGTGTGTGAATCGTTTAAATTCTCTGTAAATTATTGTAGCTGGTGGGGGAGGGGTTTACAAAAATGGAGATGATGCAGTAACTAGGGCTTCCCACCTCTGTTTTCTCACCTGTGTTCTAGGCACAGATCCCTGAAATTTGGGGGACAGGCTACTATTTGTCCAATTTGGTCCCTTACAAACTGTATGTAAACTACTCCTGGAACAAATGTTCAGCTGCCTGCCTTGGTGCTGAGGTGTGGAGTTGCTACTGTGATAAGAGTTGAGATGAGCCAAAATTCACCTGGATTTATAGTCCAAGCCTTCCCCTAGAAGTGGCATGTCTTCAATAGATTCCAGAGTACCAGAACTGTTAACCTAAAACAGATGCTGCTCATGCAGTTATTGTCTAGGTGGGGAGACAGACTTCTGGTGCCGCTTACTCAGCTTTCTTTTCAGAATTTTCTGGCAAAAATTATTTTTACCTAGGAAATTATTCTGGAAGTTTTGTCTAAGTGAATTTAAGTTATAGTGGCAAGGGAAAAATTCCCCTTTTCACTTCCAGTAATCCTCAAGGCATTTTACATGGTATTTTCTCTCTTCTCTCTTACATTCCCACCCTCCTTCCTTCTTCCCTTCATTCAAAACCAGTTTAGTATTTTCCCAGTTATTTGGTGGATAGCTGTTCCATTTTGTTGGATGTCCATTTAATTCCTAACATCCCATTCCCTTAACTACTTTTGGCCATTTTTCTATTGACCCTTTAATTGGAAGAAAGAAGTTGGTAAAAAGATTAATTGCTAAATGAAGGTAGGTGTTAGCATCGGGCTCAGATTCCTCATTTTCTCTCCAGACTTCTCATGTGGAGGATCTGAGACAACTGAAATAATTGGGTGTAGTTTTATGACCTCTGGGAAACAAAGAATATGGAAGAGGGAAGATACAATTAAACCAGTGTAGACATTGTTAAGAAATTTATTTGCAATTCTTGTTTTTGTGATTTTTGTTTGTTTTTTAAATAACATCATTCCTTAGATAAAAATGCAATCTTACAGGAATATACAATAGTGTCTCACACAGAGATGACCCTGAAGCTCTCCTTGAAAGATTGCCCCTTCTAGATTCCCTGGCCTTTCTCAAGGGTGAGAAGGCGCAGCAGGCAAAGCCTTTGACAATGGGGTTATTTGACGGTTACAAACTGTACAACAATATTTACAACAATCAGACTGTGAAGTCGTGGAGCCTGGAGGAGTGTGCAGATGCATGGGGGATGAAGACAGTGGAGGCACTCTCCATCTTTCCATACCTTTCTGCAAAAAGATGTGATACACATTGAGCTGGGGCATGAAGGTGGCCTGAACAAGAGGACAACAGGAGAAGGCTGCAGGGATGTCCTTTGGAGCCTTTTACATGGAGGGCAGTTTTCATTCTAGCCCTGGTGTTTAAAATAAACAGCAGAGTCATAGACATTCCAGTGCTTCACCACCTGGGGATCTGTCACTATTAATGAACTTTTGGGTTTTTCCACATTTCTGTCATCACAGAGGCATCCAAACCTACTTATGTCTTTGTTACCCATGGCTTATTTCAGCACAGGACCTTGTGCCCATGAGGTTCTGGAAACAACCTATGTGATGGGAAGGCATGGTGCAGCTACAGAGTGGCCATGGAATTCAGGCTTGAGGAATGGGATGCAGCTGATGCATGGATGGCATGGTGTGGAAGCAGAAGGGCACAACCTTTGGTCCACTGGACCTGCCTTCTGCAGCATCCCCTGGCACAGGACTGCTTGTGAATAAATCATCTGCCCTCTAAGGTACCCCCTCCCATTTTAGCGTGGGTGTAGTTTCTCCACGTTGAGAGGTCATAAAGTGAGGAGCTTTGTATAGGACCCAGTGACCCATCCATTCTCTTTTGCTCTTCTTGTGACTACAGAAAGGAGCTTTCTCTTCTCTCTTCTCCTGACTAAAGACTCGAGAGAGACTTCATCAAGGAGGTCTAAAACTTGTCCCATCAGGTTCCCATGGGAAGCAAGCCCTGTTTACCCCAGTGCCTGCTCACTCCCTTCTTCCTTATCTACCTGCTCCTGAACTTGAGGGCTAAGAGACCAGAAAAGGAACTCTTCAGGCTCGACACTGAATAAGAATCACTCTGTCCGTTTCCACATTTCTCATATAAATGACCCTTTTGGAATACCTACAACCTCTTCCACCCAGAACTTTCACTGCTAAGGACCTTAGTAGGTGGTAACTGAGTGATTTTTACACAGGAGATTTTCAGTAAACAGCAGATTCACACCAGGTTCAGTGCCAAAGTTCTGAAAGCTGGGATGCATGAGATATGTCAGCAAGGAGAGGGGTGCTCCTGGAAACAGCCACCACCTGCTCTGCAAGGAAAGAATATGGCTCTAACAATGGAACATTTCCAACCTTTTCCATTTTCTAGTCTTTTTTTTTTTTGTCTTCCTTATTGTTAGTAGAGGTTTAAGAGGGTCTTCACAGTAAAGCTTGACTCTGGTTTGACTCAGGGTAGAATGGACTTGCTGTGGCTCATATATGCAGCCACAAGCTCAAATTCCCTTTCAGACCCTTGAGTAAAAGGCATTTCTGATATCCCAGAAGGACAAGTGTCTTACCCCTTCATGTGATGCGGATCATGAGGAAGAAGGAGTGGTGGTTTTAGGGATAGTGTTTTTTTTTTCCCCTAATGTTGCTAAATTTAAATTTATTTCCTAATCACAACAATAGCTCAGATGGCACTATTCCCACCAAAGGATGTGGGTCTGCTCTCCCTGTATCTCTTTACACAGGACTCACCTGTATGGAAGAAGCCATATAGGTAGAGCTCAGACCCAGCACTTGGGGCCTGTGTGTGTGTGTGTGGTGGGCAATGAGGAAATCTGCTAGAAATCCATTTGTCTATTCTATTGGTATCTGACTCCTAAAGCAATACCCCGTTGCTTTGAAATATAAATAAACAAAGTGAAAACTTAAAGTGGCTTGACAAAGATACTGTAAGAGTCTACACATTGGAACTTTTTGTCCCTGTCATCAGTCAGGGGGAGGAGGGACAGCTCAGGGCTGGAAGGAGGCAGGAAGAGACCAAACTCTTAGGGAGGAGACAAATCCCCCCCTACACACACACCCAAGCATACAATGCTTCTTCCCTTATAAGATGGGTCTTCTAATTCTTATTCTTCTATTCATGGAAAATCTGTATTATGAAAAGAAACTATGCATAGATTTCAAAATTTTTTACACCAAAACAAACTCTGCTTATATTTTCATTTTCCACAAATGTTTTTGAAATACTCCCTCTCTCTTCAAAATGCAGCTGTGGAAAGCCAGGACTTTGGGGACTGAGAGCTGCACCATGAGCCAGACTGGAGGTTCCCTGCTGCTTCTGACAGGAACCTGGTTCAAGCTGCTTGCTGGGTAACCTGAGGGGGTGCATGCGGCATGCACAGCAGACACCTGCCAGGCCAGGGTGGAGGGAGATTTCATTGTTGTCATTGTCCAAAGTAAATCCATGAGGCACTAGCCTCTACCACACTGCTCACTATGGGCCGCTGAAGTGGACATTGCTCTCCATAAAATGGAAACAGGCCCACAGGGAGTCAAAATATTCCCCGTTTGTCCTCCAGGCCTCTCAGTTGTCACTAGAGCCAGGTCTGCTTTTAAAATTGCAGTCAGGGGTGGGCTAGTGGTAAAAATGCTGCATCTTACATCACAGTACCTGGGTTTGATTCCCAGCTGGGGATGCTGACTCAGCCATGATGAGCACCTGCCATGTAGGAGACCTGGATTGAGTTTCCAGCTCCCAGCTTTTGCCTGGCCCAGTCCTGGCCCTTGTGGGAACTAGTAGATGGGAGCTCTCTCTTTTTCTATCCATTGACTCTCAACTCTCTCAAACAAACACATAAAAAAGAAACAACAATCAGAATCAGTCTAGACTCAATATCAGCATGTCTTTTACTTCCCAAGGGCTTAAAGAGTTCTTCCAGTCTCTTTGATAAACTAACTCCTAGACAACCTATTTCAATTATTCTAGGCCTCTAGGGGTAGAGATGCCACTATCCTTTTAGCCACGTGTATGATTATGGTTTGATGAGGCTAAAAGGACTAAACACCAGAGCTCTGCCCTACAGCCAACCTTGTTTCACTTCTCTGCCTTCAGGAGGAATGGGTGTACCCTTTCCTCCTCTGTGAAACAGCCGTCACCCTGGTGATGACTTCCAAACATGTCATCTCCATCTTGTTCATCGGAGTGACACTAACTTTGGCACTGAAACATATGAAAGCTCTTCCAGAAGTTCTCAGATTTTAACAGAATTTAAACAATAAATTTATTTTTGGTTCAAAGAAAACCCCATGCATAGTTTTTTCATAATATGCAGTTTCTGCATACTTGTTGAAGATCCCTCATACACTTGCATTTCAAAATTTTTTACACAAAATAAACTTTTCTTTTAATACATTTTTTACGAACTTTTGGAAGTGCCTTCATATACTTCTGTGTTTGCCCTGCCATCAGCAGCCAGATGGGCAGGAATGTTCTGGGTAGAGAATGACCATGAGGAAATGGCAGGCAGCTTCACTCTCAACCAGCACCTGGCATTTGGACCCATAGAAACATGGGAGGTCAAAAGAGTTGGCCTTGCTCCTTTGCTTTTGGTTCTCCCAGTCAGACAGAAGCCTATCATGCTAAGAAGATGGAAGGGAAAATACCCAATAGTTTCTGAATCCAGGCAGGAACAAACTTATGAATCAAACCAAAACCTACAGAGAAAGCTCTTTGTGCCCCAACAAAAAAAGAAGCTTTCAAGAACAGGTGGAAAAGAGACAGTGGAAAATCTTTCTGCTTAACATGGCCAGGCACACGAATAACTATGGAAAGACTGAGGTGTGAAAATAAAAGATGCATGGCTGTTGAGAGGACAAATAAAAACTAAGTTTTTCAAACTGCACTTCTTCAAGACTCATGGTCCTCAGCCACAGACTGCTTCTCTCCCACCACTCAGGGGTGGTCGGGAAGGCCTATTGAAGAGGCGATGACTGTGTTAACAAGGTCCTGGAGAGAATCCCATCTCAGGGTTAAGGAAACATCACTCAGTACATGGTGGATATGGTTTGCTGATTCCACTACTGCTAGTACCACTGTCATCATGGCCCGCATCACCATGGGGTCAGCCCAGGAAAGCCCCAGTGCTCTAGAAAGGGAACTTCTGTCTGCACTCCCCTACCTCTCCAGCAGTAGAGGGCAAGTGTGCCCTCGTCCCTGCTCATGCCAATCATGCGCAGTGCAGGGATGAGGGCTGCTCTGATCTTCTTGCCAGTGGTGACCATCAAGGAGAAGGAAGGCAGTGGGTGTGAGTGCTGCAGGGAATCCTGCTGGGCAGGTCCCTAGGAGGAGCTGGCACAAGCACAGCCTGTAGTCTATGCTACGGAGCCTTGTGGATGCAGATGAAAAGTTCTAAAGAAAGAGAAGGCAGCATGAAAAGGTTGAGTGAACGTGTATGTGTGTTGGGTCAATCAAAATTCCACATTCCAAGGTAGGAGCCAAATGCACAGCAGGAACCAGATGTCCCAGGAGAGCCTCCTCTCCAATGTCATTAAAGTCTTCACAGCACAGTGGTAGAAGTTTCAGGAAATTGGGCCAAGGACGACAGCTAACCTTAACTTCTGGAAGGCCTTAACAGCACTGAGAAGGAATCATGAAAGTGTGGGTGGACTGGGCATGGAGAACCACGAGGAAACTGTTTCTAGAACTTATGTCAACTTGGGATTATCTGTGCTTTACCATGAATCAGTCTATGGCAATGCAGCTCATCTTTACTGAGGAACAGACTGTCCACTATTTTAATTTCTAGCTTGCTTGTAGATGTGCCAAAAAGTGTTACCAGAACACTGGCAATGGAAGAGATTCAGTGGGTAATTTCTTGGTGAATCATTGAGGCCTATGTCCCGCAAATCTGTTACATTTCAACCAGCATGGTTGAAATATATCTGAAGGACATAGCAACAATCGGATGATGTCCTCAGTCTATGTAAATGGGCATAAGACATAGCCCCACTAAATCTGTTTCCACTGTGAGCTCCTGATGCCTCCTCCCCCTGTCCAGGTCCCCTCCACAGCTGCCACGTAAGTTAGGGTGGGCCTGGAGACAGTCCTGCTGCATGAGGAGGAAGCAATGAGAAGTGAGCACATCGCGGTGACTTCTGGTGAACCAAGGTTTCACCCAGGTGACTTTCTCTAGGCCCTGCTGTGTGTGAGAAGAGCAGTGGTCAAAAAGCAAAGGAGCCGCTCCCGGCCATCCAGCCTGGCTTTGATTTCATGCTCTCAGTCAGTGGGCACTGTATAAAGGAAACCAACTCTTCTGTAGGGGTGCAGACACCAGCCCAGGGACAAAGAAGCCAATCAGAATGCCACTGTGTAGCACACGGGGACGGGCTGCTCTGGGAGTTGCAAATCCAAGAAGCAGAGCAGTGGACAGAGTGAAGAGTGGAATCAGCCATGCCCTGGTCTCTCTAAGTGAGATGTGTTCTGAACCTACTTATCTTGTGATTCAGGAAGAACTGAGGGAAATGGAGGCAAACACAAGATATGCAAAGCAGTGATGGCCAGACCTGTTGGTGCAGAGCAGAATGAAGACTTACATCGGCAATACCTTTGCTCATGGCACAAATGAAGAGTTCCCTTCCCCCAGCCAAATATAGAAAAGCACTTCTGAGTTCAAAGGTAAAGCTTGTCACACTCCAAATACAAAATTATTTACTTTACATGCAGCAAAACATACAAGAAGTGAATTCAAAAACAAACTTAATTCAATTCATTATATTCGCTTGGCACAATTGCAATTCAGTTTTAAAAAAATATGTGAAAAATACTGAAACTGACCTGAATTCAAGTATAACAGTTTCTTCAACAGAAACATTATCAATGCAATAAAACGTTACACGGAATATATTGAAGCAAAATGCCTTCTTTTTTTCCCTTAAATTTGTTTTGTTTAAATACAGTTAATGCCAACACAACTCACAATTGTATTTTTAAAATGAATATTATTGCATTGTTTTTGCATATCTTGTGGGACAGAAGATGCAGAGTTACTGATTCCCGTTTCAGAAGTAGAGACAGTGGTTTGTTCTTGCTTTCAAATGGCCCCACATTCTGACCTCCTCGCAGTTAAACCAGAAGGAAGCGCGTGGTCACCTGTGTGTCCGGGCACGCTGTGTGGGTGCACATCCACACGCACACAACCCACGCACGCATACACGCAGACACCCCTAGACATGCTGCCGCTCTTCTGCACCCACCAAACACCCAGCATAAAACAGAACCCAACTCAATCACCCATATGTGCAAGACCGTATCAAGTGCATTGCCAATTACCTTTAAATTATAAATCGCAACCAAACCAGGAAAAAAGAAAAAAGAAAAAAACCGTTACTACCCCAGGAAACGGTAACAAATTTGGGGGCATACACAATGGCTGGTAAAACTCCCACAGCGGCTTCTATGGAACCCTCTCTCCATGGGAAAAGGAACCCACAGCCTTTAAATAATACAATAAAACCAAGCCAGATTTACATATGCAAAAGTGAAAGCAGGAAGATGGGTAGCCGCAAAATTTATAAACGCTCTTCTTTCTCCCCTCATCCTGGGAAAACAATGATAACGATTAAAAAAAAAAAAAACTGAAAACCGCAACATGCTGTCAAAAACATGGCAAATCACCAAACAAAACAGCGCTCGACGGAAGCGCAGCACCACCTGGTCAGGCTGCGCGCTGGCGGCCCGGACCCCGCGACCGCGGCTGCCGCGCAGCACAGCGACGCGCCTCCCCTCACGAGCAGCTGCGGGTGCGGAGCGCGACGCGGTGGGCGTGGGCCGGGCAGCGCCCCCGACAACCCCGGGCGCGGCGCGGAGCTTCGAGGCTGCCCCGCTCTCCGCTCCCGCTCCGCAGCCTCCTGCGCGTCTTTGCCCCTCTTGGGCGCGCTGGGGTCCTCGCCGCGAGTCCTGCCCTGCGCCCTTCTCCCAGTCCACAGGGCCCGGCTCTATGGAGACAGTGAGGCTCATACAGAATATGTGCAAATGATTTTTTTTTTTTTACAAGCAAAGTTGAAAGACACCCGTTTGGTTCAGGGTCCTTTTGGCGAGCGAGGGCCACCGCAGAAAGCTGAGGTTCTCTTTCCCGCCCGGGGCGCGCCTGGAGCAGAGCTCGAGGGCGGGTCTCTCCCCTTCCCGCGGCCGCCGCCCCCTCCTCGCCTCTGCGGACACAGAGGGCTCCACACCTCCCAGCCTGCGTCTCGTCCCAACAGAAATGAATGAAGACGCTGTTCCGGTTAACTCCAGGTCACGAGAACAGTGAGGCACTTCTGAAACGAACCCATTAGGAACATTGAGACAAATAAAAAACCCGCACCCCCGGCCCTGGCGCCTACAGGCTGCTGACGCCGGCCCTGCGGTCCGCGAGGGCCTCCTCGCTCTGCCCGCACCCTGGGGCGCATGCGCCGCTCGCGTCCTGCTCGTTCTGCCCCGCTCTGTCCCGGCCCGGGTCCCTGCGGTTCACAAAGGGTAACAGGGTGCCATTGGGGCTCTGCCGGGCGCCCCCGCTGAGAATGTCGTCGGCCGCGTTCTCCATCTCCTCTATGGTCAGATCGCAGGCGTCAGCCAGCTCCTGGGTCGTGACCTCGATGAACTTGGGATCTTGAGCAAACTGCCCCAGTCCTTCGGAAATCAAGACCTGAGGAACCATGGGGGAGAACCACAGGGGAGCGTCGTTAGAGCTGCTCGGGTGGGCGGATTCAGGTAGCGGGGGGTGTGTGTGTGCGCGCGCGCCTGTGGACACTGTGCACATGCATGTGTGTGAGTGTCCATGCGTCTAGGCAGGCATGTGTGTATACCGTGTGGCTGCGTGTATTTGGGGGAGGGGCGGCGCTCTCAGGAAAGAGGTAGAGATGGAGCATCGGACAGAGCAGGGAAGTTGTGGGGTGTCTGCAGCCGCCAGCAAAGACGTGACACTGGGCTCACATAGGAGCCACAGGGCCCTGCTCTGCTGTTTCAGAGGCAGACAGCAGCCTGGCCTCTTCGCTTCCCTCTGGCCCCAACATGTGCCTTCCTATTATTCTTTGCAAGAAACGTTCACTCCCTCTTTGGGAAACTGTTAACCTGTGCCACCCACCCCTTGTCAGCTGGCTGCCTTCCTGGGCAGGAGGATCCGGGCGTATGACAAGTGCAAAACACCGTGGCTGCACCTGGCCCTGCTTTGCCCAGAAGGGGCCCTTGGTGACCCCCAAAGCTCCTCCAGCCTGGGAGAATCAGCTCCTAAGCCAAGGTGTGGGAGGAAGTGAGTGGGTGGAGCTCCACACACACTTCTCGTGGGTCTTGCTCCCTTCCCCGTCTTCATCACCTAACCTTCCTCCGGAGCACAGCTCCTTCCTGCATGCCTGTTTTAGTGCCTGCTTCTCCTCACCACAGTGAGAGCTCAGGAAGGCAGCAGCCCTGTATCAGCACTGTATACCAGCACCCGGGCGGCACACGGCGGGTGCCCAGCAGAAATTTGTGAAATGAGTCAAGGGCCACAAGGCCAGCAGCAGAATCAGAATGGACATTCGAAGTCACCTGGTTCAACTCCCAACCTCCTGCAGGCAGCGTGGTGGCCTGGCGGGCCCTGTCTGCTTACCTAGGTCCTGTGGTGGGAGGTTTCCTACTTTTTAGGAAAGACCCCTCCTTCTGGCAGAGCTCATTGGAAAGGAGCTGAAATCAGCCTGCCTGTCAGTCTAAGCCAGCTGCCCCGTCCTCCTGCCCAGGGCTGTAACCCTTTGTGGCCGAGTGCCCGTGATGGGTGTGAGATGAGAACTGCAGCTTCGTAAGCCACTCCTTCTCGGAGTCACCTTCCTCTGGGTTTGTACCAGCTTGTGAAAGGCCCCCTAAAATGTGGCACCAGGACTGCATGAGATGCCCTGGACTGGGCAGCCAGAAGCACTCGTGTTCTCAACTGATGGCGCTCCAACCTGGCTGTGCATCCAAGCTTTAAAATTCTCAGTTTAATTTGCCACAGTCTTCCAGAGCTCCCTGGCCACCGTGTGTGTGTGTGTGTGTGTGTGTGTGTGTGCAGCCCAGGTTTGTGTGTGGGTTCTGAGCGGTCCCTGAACATTGAGGCCCGTTTCTCGGGGTTCACTGGCTGTGTTACCCAGTGCTTTCTTCCTCAACAGAAGCCATGAGAGCCCATCACTTTCTGTGTGTCCCCGAAAGTGGCGGTCAGGGAGATGACATTCAGTCTATGGGGACGGAAGCGTCTCCCCCCTCCTCAGTTCTCCAGTCCACATGCCCTTCCCCTGCCTCTGCCCCGCGGCCCACACTCACATACCGCTTCCACCAGGCTGCTGGCGCTGCCATGGAACTGTCTCCCCTGGGCCCCAGCCTGGCTGGGCACAGTGAGGGAGACGGGCCGGGCTCTCCGGGCGGCGCTGCTGTCCCCTCTGCAGGGGCTGTTCTCCCCAGACCATGAGCCGCAGTGGATGGACGGGAAGCTGCTGTTGAGTTTCTCACTGGAGTCGGCCCCCTCCAGCCGCAGGGTGGGGATGGGCTGTGGGGGCCAGCCTCGGCTGCCCGGTGTGGCAGGGGGCGTGGCACAGGGCCTAGGGAGCGAGGTGGGGGAATGGCTTCTCTGCAGGAGGGGACTCAGGCCCGCCACTGCCAATGCCTGTGGACACACAAGAAGCACAAGTTACTAGGAACGATGGGGCCCAAGGGACGCAGGCCTCTAGTCTTGCAGTTACTTCTGCCCACCTGGAACACACACCCCATCTGTCTGACCCCCTCTGAGCCCTAGCTCATCGAGACCTGGCCCAGGTTTCCATAATCTCAAAATACATCTCTGCACAACTCAGTCTGCCTGAAGTGATCTCTTCCTTCTGTGAGTTCAGAAAGCTGCAATTGAGTGGAATCAGGATCATCTGCTGTACTTGTGAATCCTCTTGTTCTTGGTAGACTGCAGTGAACGATGACCCTACACTGTATGTTAAATGCAGGACACGCATGCCCTGTCAGTCAGCCGTGCGGGTTGGGGTGAGGATCAAGGTCTGTGAAGAAGTTCGATGTCCATCACAAGGAGCTAGATCAAGCCAGTACTCGTTATTCTGACTTTTATAAAAAAGAAAAAAAGGAAAAAAAGAAAAGAAAAGCAAGGACGAGGAATAGAACCCTGCCAACCCCTAGCTCGGGTTGTCTTTGAGCCATGGCGGAAGCCTTACACTGCGCTGCTAGGAAGCCATGTATGTGTCTGCGTCCTGTGTCCCTGGCTGCTGCTGGGCAGCCCGAGGGCCGTGGCCTGCATCACCGCTGGGTCAGGACTCGGCCCCGCAGTGTCTGCTGCTCTGCTGTGGTGTGTGGTGGGAGGGGGCGACACTGGGTGGCTGGAGGGGCCAGATACAGGTAAGGAAGGATGCCTTGCCCACCAGCGTGATAAGAACAGATGGGTGGAACCAGCTGCTAAAACCGCCTTCCAAAATAGCAAGCATGATGTCCCCACTTCCTGCCATTCCCCCTGTCCCGGCCCCAGCTCCCGATGGGTTCCTGGCTGCCTGGGAACCTAAAGGAAGAACAAGGCTATGTGTGGTGTTGTGGACAGCCCAGTAGAAATCATTCACACATGGGCAGCGCTCCACAGGCTAAGCAAAACGGTGGATTTCTTTGAGCTGAAGTGATATCAACTTGGCCACACCAAGCTGGCTGTCTTAGGGTGATTATAAGCTTTGATTGCCAGTTGAATGCCTTTAAGTACGGCCTAGACTGTTGGGTGGTGGCTTAGTGCAGTATCATGGGCTACCTGGTGGTGGACCAGATGCAGGGGCAGGACTGTCTTCTGAGAGATGTCTCCCCCTTGATTCTTCTGCCGCTTCAGACACTCCAGGTGGAAGGAAGCCCTTCGACCTACAAAGCCAGCCAAAGAAGGGGCTCAGGGCAGGAAGAGAGGACAGGGCTGTGACAGCTCCGAACCCGGTGGGAGCAGGGTCTGGGGCTCAGACACCCTTCCTGTTTGCCTCTTGCTTTGTCTCTGAGGCGTTGCGGAGCACGTGTGTCCAGCTCCCACCCCAGCACACCCTGTCTTTGCAATCATTCTTCTCACTTTGGAAGTCTGCCCAGCCCACTGCCTGGATGTTGTTTGACCCCGGGCCATCCCGGAGTCCCTGACCAGGCATCTCAGGGTGACCACCAGCGCCCTCTGCAGAGCCAGGGGTGTGCTCACCCAGTGATGCGGAGCGCAGGAAACCCTTCTTTGGAGACAGCCTGATGTCCCGCTTCTCCTCCTCCGGGGGCGCCAGTTGTCGGTTTTCGTCATCCTGGTAGGAGAGCCTGGAACACAGAATTCTCGGAGCTCACTCCTGGAACTCAGAGCTTTCGTCCCCAGAAACCATTTTGCCTTTTCCCTTGCTGAGGGGAATGCCCACCCTTCCCCACCCAGGGGTGCTTATGGACAGGTTTGGGGGGGGCCGACATCACAGATGTTGGCCCAAGGGGCTGTCCATCCACTGCCCAAGTGGTAAGCCCTGCATTTCTGACTTCAGGCAGTAGGAGGCACTCTTGGGACAAAGGTAGTGAGAAAGTTGGAGAAAATTCCAGGCCCATGTGCCTCTTTCAGAGTGGCCTAGGTTCCTGTGTGCACAAAGGCCAACGCTCTTTACCAAGGCTGTTCTCGGCCTCAGCCCCAGCGCCGCCCCCGTTCCCCAGATCCCCCTGCATGTGCATTTCAGCAGCTGCTCGCGACAAAGATGCAGCCAGTCAGCAGCGAGGTGGAGAGGGGCCTTAGGGGTATCTGGTGGGTGGCCGCCAACCCTTCCAAGGGTGAACCCAGCAAGAAATACCTTGGGCACCCTGCCCGACAGACCCAATGGAAGGAAAGGCACCTGACGGCACTCCCTGCACTCTGCACGTTGCTAGTCTACATTCGTCTGCTTGGTTTTATTAAAAGGCTTGGGCTGCAACACACTCCATGGACTTCACAGCCCCTCGTGCATTGGCCTGCATGGCTTGCATCCACCCCTTCATGCCACAGGTGAGGCCCTGGACGCTGTCCCCAGTGCTCCCCTACATGGTGGACAGGGGTGTGCTGGCTTCACCACGGAGCACACCCCTGCTCCATGCATTGATGTGTAGATGTTCATTGAATCTACAATCATCTGTATGCATTGCTCCTTTCTTCTCAACCATGCAAGCCCTCCCTATTGTATTTCCTTCTTATCCAAACCACCACTGCTCTTGTAGACCCAGCTTCTGTCTGAGCTTGGATCATAACCATCACAGTCACCCTGCCCCGCCCCTTCTCAGAATGCCTGTGCAGCTCAGTGTGTACCCCACTCTGTGGGCAGTTAGTTAGACAGTTGCCAACCATCTTTCTTGTCTGAGATCCTCTCGGCTTCCAAACCAGTTTGTAAAACAGCCTTGAGTGTGGACTGTAGTTAGTTAACTCAGCAGAACTCCCGGATACCAAGCACGCAGCCTGCGCTTTTCCTGATTTCTAGGATATGTAGCCATGCAGTAATTTGCATTATCTAAATATTAATTTAGGGGCTGGTGCTGTGGCGCAGCAGGTTAACTCCCTGGCCTAAAGCACCCGCATCCCATATGGATACCAATTCGAGACCCAGCTGCTCCACTTCCTGTCCAGCTCTCTGCTGTGGCCTGGGAAAGCAGTAGAAGATGGCCCAAGTCCTTGGGCCCCTGCACCCATGTGGCAGACCCAGAAGAAGCTCCTGGCTCCTGGCTTTGAGTTGGCACAGCTCCGACTGTTGCGGCCAATTGGGGAGTGAACCAGGGGATGGAAAACCTCTCTCTCTCTCTCTCTCTCTCTCTCTCTTTCTGCCTCTCCTCTCTCTGTAACTCTGACCTTCAAGTAAAATAAATCTTTAAAAAATTAATTTAGAGGTGGGCATTTGGTGCAGGGATTAAAATGCCACTTGGGACACCTGTACTCCAAGTAAGAATGCCTGGTTTTGAGTCCTGTCCCTTCTGAGTCCAGTGTCTCGCTGATGTGCACCCTGATGGCTCAGATAGTTAGATCCCTGCCACCCATGTGGGAGACCCAGATTGAGTTCTAGGCTCCTGACTTCAGACTGGCCCATTCCTGGCTGTCACAGGCATTTGGGGAGTGAACTAGTGGGTGGGGGATCTCTTTGCCTATCTGTCCCTGTCTTTCAAATAAAATGAAAATATATTCACAATTCCAATTAGGAGAGTATTATCTGTTAAGGACCCTCAGAGGACCTCAGGCTTCCTATGCACCGTGTTTCACTGAGTCAGAAAGCAGGTGTTTCGCCCCCTCACCCCTCTGCTGATTGGACATGAAGGCACAGGGGTTAACTGATTTGTCACGAGTCGTGGTCCTGCTGCTCTTTCCACAGTTTCCCTCACTTGCTGGATTCTTATAACATCAGGGGACAAGGAGGTGGCTCTGCTACTCTTCAACCTCTCCCGCCACTCCCTGGGGGCCTGTGTCCTTGTCCTACTCCTGCCTCTGCAGCCACACACATCCATCCTCCACCTTCCCTCAAAAAAAAAAAAAAAAAAAAAAAAAAAAAAAAAAAAAAAAAAACCTAAAAGGCACAAAGTGCTCTCCAGAAAGCATCCCAAACAGTGCATCTTAGGCTGTTCCGAATGCCACCCATAGCCATCAGTGCATCTTATAAGGAGGCACGGTAGACAGGCATCCGTGTTGGCAATTCAGCCACGGCAGACACTGATATTTTCTGTGCTCTGCTGGACAACAGACTGCCACAACCTCAGGTGCATCCAGATCTGCGGACCAGAGCTCGCCTCCAGCAATCCAACAAGAATCCAGACCTCAGTTCCAGATTGCCAGCAGTGCCCTCTTCTGGGCAGCTTTTCTGTTTAAAAAAGTTGTTGCTATTATTTGAAACAGAAAGAGAGAGCACGTGCTGATTCGTTCCCCAAATGCTTGCAACACCTGGGGGTGGGCCAGCGCAGAGCTGGGAGCCAGAACTCAATCTGGATCTCCCACAGGGCAGCCGGGCCCCAAGTGCTGAGCCGTCACCTGCTGTGTCCCACAGTGCGCCCTAGCAGGGCTCCCTAGGCATTCCCCTGTGGGATGCAGGCATCCCAGGCAGCATCTTAACCACTGTATCTCAAATGCCCCCACTGGGCAGCCTTATTATTAGAACAGTAGCTCCATGAAACACTTAACTGTAGATGTATGTATGTATGTGCTGTGTCCCACAGAAAACGTGCTGTGGCTGCTGCTTGCAGCCAAAGAGGAAAGACGGTCAGCCGTTTTCCCAGGAGCGAATCATAGCGAGGAAGGACCCAGCTAAAGGGGATTGTGTGTGTGTTGGGGGTGGCCTCTCCCTCCCCTAAAGTGATTGCAGGTGCAGAGTGGGCAGGACTGCTCTCTGATCTCTGCTTCCCTATAGCTGGGGCCCGCCTGGGCCAGGAGGCAGCAGGGCTCACATCTCTGTGGAGAGCAGGCTGGGCTCACTGCAGCACTCTGCATCTTCACCGATCCTCACGTCGTAGTTGTCGTCCTGGGATGCGCCCTCCTGACACGCCATGGCTATCTGGCTCTCCTGGGAGTGGCATCTAAAACATCCAAGGCGGAGGAAAGCTTAGGGACCGTCAGCCCTCCTTCCTTTCTCCCAGCCAAGAAGGGGCCACACAGGCATGCACACGCGTGCACACACACACACACACACAGTGGCTGCGGCCTCTTCCCCCAGCAGCTGCCGATGAAGCCGGGGAGCCATGGAAGCATCAAGATTGAGGCTGAGGCTCTTGGTGGGAGAGGGACCCACTCAGCCTCTGGCCCAAGTCACTCAGCCTACCCCGTGCCTCAGTTTCCCCTCCTGTAAAGTTGGAATGACCTGTGCTGCTGCTCGCAGGATGGCTGGGCCCCTGGGCTGTCCTCTCCAGGACAGAGTGGCACAGAGAGGGCTCTCCCCACCCCGTGCTGCAGACGGCTGAGCCTTCAGACGTTTGGCCAGCTGAGAAGTCCCCGGCATCGTGGTCTGCCAGATTTGGTTCTGACGCTGGCTCCCTGGAGTGAAGGCCCAGAGAGGACACCTCATGCGGAGGGCTGTGTCCTACTGAGCAGAGGGGGTGGGCCTCAGTCCCTGCCGAGCCCAGCGGGGGCTTGCACTGTGACGCGCTCTCTCTGGAACAGCGTCTTCCTCGCTCCAGGCTCAGGGCTCTGCCCGTCTCATCTGGGCTTGGCTGTCTTCCTCCCTACTCTGTGTGCCGGAGCCCACTCTGCTCTCAGGCCCCCTGAGGCATCTGGGAAAGAGCCCAGTGTACCCCTCCCCCTCGCACTTTGGCCGTGGGCTCACAGAGCAACCTGGGCAGACTGGGGCAGAGCTCTCCGGGGCGGACGTGGACCATCCCCCGCCACGGTCAGAGGGAAGATGAGATGTCAGGGGCTCCATATGGAGCGGGAGGAAAGGCGCGTGGAGTGGGCGTGGCGAGGAGCACACGGGATGGCAGCAGGCAGGCAGCACCACTTCTTGGGACCACTGTCTGTTTTCAGCAACAGTGAAGCTGCCGCCAGAGCCCCCACCGTCTGCCTCGAGCTCTGGCGGGAGGGACAAGGCCCAGGACTCCAGAGTGCTGGCTGCATTCTCCTCTTAGAACCCTGAAGGTTGTTTTTACCAAAAGTGGTGAGGGGAGAGGGCACTGGGGTTTAGTGAGTACTTAGGATGCGCTCAGTGCTCTGCATGTGTTATGTTTCATGGACAGGTGTCTCCGTGGGGGAGGAAAACCTCTGCTCCTCCCCCCGCTAGCTCCTCTCTGGCAGTCGCTCTCGCCTGAGGAACAGGAAGCGTCCTGCACAGGAGGTCATTTCATCTACACGGACACGCTAACACGGGACTTAAGGAGCCTTCCTGAAGAAGAGGTGAGTGGGGGAGAATGTGGGGCCAGGAATGAAGCCTTGAAGGTTCTGGAAGAGGGAGGGAGGCCACCAGGACAGGCAAGGATCAGCCACTTGCACGTCCCTTGCAAAGCCAGCTTTTCCGTGCCCTGTGCACACCTCTGTCCCAGGTGTTCAGTGAGTACTTCCTGTATGCTAGGCATTGTCAGGGGCCGGACCAACTCGTCCTGAGCCCATTCAACCAAGGGCAGGACTTGGGAGGCACCCTAGCACCTACCTCTCTCGCAGGGGGTCCAGGGCTACAGCCTCTATTGAAACTTGCGGGGTGGGATGCCAGCCTGGGACTAAGTGCTCCTCCTCCACCTGGCCCCTGGCAGCAGCCCTGGGTGCCCCACCCCCCTGCTTACCTCTTGGAGCTGAGCTTCCATGCTGCCTCCTGTGCCCGGACGGCAGGAGACAAGGGGGACCCGTGGCCCTCCACAGTGCTGACTGTGCTGGGGTAGCCGGCGGGGCGGGGGAGGCGGCCCAGGGCAGTGTTGTTGGCATTGTTGATGTTGGCGTTGGAGCCGGTGGACGAGTAGCTGCTGGGGGTGAAAGTGGAGTCCACCAGCTTCTCGTGGGAGGGTGACTCGGTGTCGCCTTGGTTGTTGCCAGCCTTGCTGATGTGCAGTGGGCGCTGCGTAGTGAAGGTCTGGGGGAAGGCGCTCCGGCTGTCACTTTGGTAGTAGCTGACATGGTTGCCAAACAGGCCACCGGCCCTCTGTAGACAAGATGGGGGGGCGGGGGGAGAAGCCCCTCAGCTACCCCTACCTCCAAGGCAGATGGAGAGGAAGGGAGCAGACACAGCATCCTGGCTGCCCATCCCAGGAACCAGTCACACAGGGCAGCTGTTGAGGGTGACAGCCATCCTGGGAGTTCCCAGCGGAGCCCCTGAAGACCGGGCTGTGTCCTGGGGACAGTGTGGGGTGGCTGTCCTCCACAGCACGGTGCACGGTAGGCGCTGAGGGCCGGAGACTGTACCTCTCACTTTCCACAGGAAAAGCCCACTAGCTCCCAGAGGGAGAAGCTAGGAAACGAGGGAGCAGAAGCTACCTCCTGCGCCAATGCCACCATGGCTTCCTTTCCCTAGGGGATTCTGGGACACTGAAAATTAGGAAGCAGTGTTCTCTTTCCGGCCCTGTGCACTCCTTCCTTGTTTGTGTTTGTCCTGGGTGAGTGGGCGGGCGGCCCTGACCTGAGAATGTCTCTGGGCTCTGGCAGAGCAGTCAGCAGTTGTGGTTTCTGGGGTCTTGTCGGGGCACTGGTAATGTGATACCAGGTCCCTGAGACCACCTGGTGAGGGACAGCTCATGGAAGTGAGGATGAGCATGAGCCATGGGCAGCATGGGCTGATCCACAGCCGGGGGCTGGCCTGGGGGGCTGCAGAGACAGGCGTGGGCAGGGCCTCCCTACAATTACGGTGAGCAGATTCTCCCTTGCTATAGAAGGACTTGAAGCCAAACGCCTTCAGGGTGAGGCAGGGGTGCTGAGGAGGACAGAGAGCCAGACGCTGGGGTTCTGGCATTCCCACAGAGCCCTCATGACTGCACCTGTCAGGTGACCTCCATCTCCAGCGATGGAGAAGGAGGGCTGGGGGGGGGGGTGCTTCTTCACCTGGAGTATACACGCTCTGTCTCACAGGGCAGTGCCACTTCGTTCCAGCCTCTGCTGCCACGTGGGAACACAGCCCAAAATCTTTTGATTGTTTTTTTTTTCCCAAGAGAAGCCAAAAGTCTGGATTTTTGCTTGAATTTGCCAGATTTTCGAATAATGGCCAAGAAAATGGGTCTGCAGATTAAAGGTGGCCCAGAAGCTATCACTTTGCAACTTCTTATGTGGAAGAAGTTCACCTTGGAAATGTGTCCTTAGGAAAACAGCTCTTTCCCCCTTCCCCAAGAGCCAGTGACACCCAGGACCAGCTACCATGTCCCTGGAGCCCTGGCTGGAGATGGAGCCAGGCTCAGCCAAGGGGCAGGGCTGAGCCAGGCCAGGTGGGAGGAGTCTGCCACTGGGCTGAGGGCCTTGCAAAATGAAGGGGCGCGCCTGTGGCGGCCACCTACCCTGAAGATGTCATCTTCAGAGGCAGCAGACACAGCCTCCTTCATGGCCTTGTCCAGCTCTTCCTCAGCTGTCAGGTCTCCGGAGATGGCCCGTCGGATCTCAGGCCCGATGTCGTGCAGAGTGCGCAGGCCAGCCTGGAACGCAGAGGGTTCCGTGAGGACCTCGAACCCTTTCCACAGGCTTCCCAGCCAGCCGCCACCACCCAGCACCAGGACCTGCCGCTGCTGGCCCCAGCCACCCACACCGCCGCTTCTCCATGGGGCAGGTGCACCTCCAGAGTGTGTGTCTGTGTGTGCAAACCAGAGGATGGCTCCCTGAACCCCTTCCCTGCACTAGGGAATGGGTCCATGCAGAGTCCATTCACCTGTCCAGAAGGGATCAGTGCTGTACTCCTGAGAGCAGGCAGGACTGTTCAGGGCAGTGTGTGCGTGAAGGGACTACAGGAGGGAAGAGGTTACATCACCCCCCCCCCCCATCTACCTGAGAGGCCTGGAGCTCTCAGGAAGTTTTCTTCGGAAGGGGCAGGGCCCCCGGCATCCTGGGAAAACCCTGGGACTCTGTCAGAGGTCAGGACTTTCCTTGGGGTGTAGACCCCTCCCTCGAGCCCCCAGCCCCTCACCTGCAGGGAAAGGGCATTCCTCTGGGAGGGCTTGCCCACAAGCCCTTGCTCTTTGCGCTTCTTGAATTTCCGGAAGTACTCTTGGATCAGGAAGGTAGCGTAGAACTTGCCGACTGTGACCTCATCATCTGGGACAGAGGAGAGGAAGGGCTGTCAGAGGCAGACAGGGGGCATCCACGTGTTCTTTGACTTTTTCACAGTGATTTTTGGGGGAGGCAGTACATGCCCACGGCCCACAGACAGAAACAGAAAGGGTTCTTCCACCAAAGCCCTCTGCTTAGCTACCACCTCCAGCAGATAGCTTAGCAGATAATTAGCTTCTTGAGCATTTTCCCAGAAATTCCTCCTGTAAACAACTGATGCAAATAGTAAATGTATGCTTTCTCTCTCTCTCTCTCTCTCTCTCTCTCTCTCTCTCTCTCTCACCTGCCATTGCTAGCTCTCATTTGATTCCACAGCTTCAAGTGCCAGTCACTGGCTGGCCAGTGCCCTGACTGCAAGCAAGGTTATGCTTCCAGATCGGAGGGAGAGAGCTTGGTGCAAGGGAGGCTTTCCTCCTCTTGGAGTTTGTGTTTTTGTTTCAAATCAGATGCATGGGTTTTGTGCCACCCAAGACTCCATGTGACAGAGTCAGTGTCTGTCTTGGGAATGAGCTAGAGCATGAGGAAGCTGTATGGGGACCACATCTGGCCAAGAGCAGCTGTGTCGCAGCTTCCAGTGAAGGCGACAGCTGGCTGGGTGAGATCTGGGGGCTCGCCTGGCTCTCCTGCACCCCACCATCCCTCAAGACCAGCCAAGTCCACAGCAGGAAAGGGCCTCCCATCTCACAAGCCCCTCACTTCCGTGTGGGAGAGAAAGCCCTGGAGGTCCCTGTCCAGGGTAGCCGGGGGGGTGGGGGGGAGGCAGGGGAAGGACCTGCATAGTGGGGCAAGTGGAGTTCCAGGCTCTCTGAGACCTGGATTTGACTCCTGAATCTGCTCTGTCCTCACCATATCACCTTGAGCCAGCTACTCAGCTTCTTCTAAGAAATCACGCCCCTTGAAAAAATGCCATAGAAATGTTACAAGAATGAAATAAAATCATGGGTGCGAAGCATCAAGTGACTCTTGCCTCTGTGTGAGCTTCAGCCCCTTCCTGCGTTCCCTTGGGAAGCGGCTCTCAGCAGGGTGAATCACCTCTTCAGGAGAGCTTCGGAAGAGGACGGGATGCTTTCTGGTGGCCCCAGTGACCTGGGGGTCTCCTGGCATTCAGTGGCTCCAGATGTACTCCTAAGCACATCACAGCTCTGTCCTCTAATGGCACCTACGCGTTGTACCAGATGCCTGTCTGGGAAAGCAACGTGTTCATAATGATCTGAGCTAAGCATCTACTTATGAGCCTGGAGCATTTCCTGCATGGTTTTCGTACACCTGGAGGTTTGCAGGAAGGCAACTGCTGCGTGAATTGGTGGAAGACTGTACTCTGCTGTCTGAACTTGACCAAGAGGGGTTCACATTTTGGAAAAAACTGTTTCCCTGATGGCAGTGTTCTTTTGGTATCTGAACCTCCTCCACTATTGTCACAGTCATGGTCACTCTGCATCCGCGCCTGTGTGCATGCGTGCACACTCATCTACATCCCGTATGTACATTTGTTTAGCCCTTCCTGGCAGATTAAGAATGTAAAGTGCTGACAATACTCAGCTTTGTGTTACTTCCTTTAAACACGAACTGGTTCATGACAAATAGGTGCATGGGAGCAGCTTATCAGTTAGTTACAACTTCTGACATTTCAGCCGTGCCTGAACATTTATATACGAGGGGTACTTCAAAACATCTGTGGAAAAATGAAAGCACAGGGGCTGGCGCTGTGGCTTAGCAGGAAAAGCCACCACCTGCAGTGCCAGCATCCATACAGGCACTGGTTCAAGTCTCAGCTGCTCTACTTCTGATCCAGCTCTCTGCGATGGCCTGGGAAAGCAATAAAAGATGGCCGATGTCCTTGGGCCCCTGCACCCATGTGGGAAGACCCGGAAGAAGCTCCTGGCCGCTGGCTTCGGATCAGCCCAGCTCCGGCCGTTGTAGCCATCTGGGGAGTGAACCAGCAGGTGGAAGACCCATGTCTGTCTGTCTGTCTCTCTCTCTCTCTCTTTGCCTCTCTGTAATTCTGCCTTTCACATAAATAAATCTTTAAAAAAAAAAATGAAAGCATGAGATACAAGCCAATTTTGAAATTCACACCAAGTATTTCCATCACATGTGTTTTTTAATCAACTTTTTTATGTCCCCTCACACAGTTTTCAAAATTGGTTTGCACCAAAGTAAACTTACCTTTTAGTTCCATATCCCACAAATATTTTGAAATACAGCTTGCACTGAAAATATTTCCTTATAGAATGCTTTACATTAGACTTAAGGCATTACAGTAGTATTTTGGAAATTCTATGTGTATGAATATTATGCTATCTTTGATTTTCATTTGGCGTTCTAGTAGGTAACAATACAAGGGGTCTTCAACAAATTTGTGGAAAATATGTAAAATGTAGGCAAAGGTTTTTTATTTTTTATTTTTTGCACAAAGATAAACCTTTCTCTTTATCCCATTTTCCCATTCTGGAGTATCTTCATAAAAAGAATTTGCCACGAAAAAGTGCTTCAAACTTGATGAGGCTGAGAAACACTGCTCTAGGAAGAATAAAAAAAATTTCAAACAAGAGGGGCAGGATCTCAGAGGATTCTTCTTCCAGGCCCCCAGAGCGGTCAGCCTGGTGGCTTTTGGGGAAGCCTATACTTTGTGGATTTCCTGGGAATTTCTGCCAGACTTGCACACATGTGCCTGTCCATGGCCTGCAGGCCTGCAGCAGATTCCCCATGTGACAGTGGGGCTCTGAGCTGGCGTAGGATGCTGTATCCCTGTCCCTTCTAACCAGCTGGGCCTTTGAGCCCCACAGGAAGGGTCTGGAGAAAGCAGAGCTCTTGCAAGCCTAGTGGACTCTCGGGGCCTATGTCCACATTTCTAATGATGCTACAGCCCACGAAGAGGAAGGCAGAGAAAGAATGTGGGTGGCTGAGCGCTCCAGGGCACACAGCCAGGAAGCACTTACCGCCTGCAGGGGGCACCACTTGGTCCAGCAGCTTCATGCTGGTCCGCTTCCAGATCTTCTTGATGATGGCCCGCAGCTCCTCATTGGCTTGTTCCAGGTTTCCTGAGGAAGGGAAGGTGCAAAGAGGAAGGGTCATCAGCCCATGGAGGGCCCTGGATGGGATGGATCCCTCTGCACAAAGCAGGGGGCCACTGATGGCGGCAGTGGCCCCTCCAGAAGCCCAATTTCTGTGTCTCTTCTTTCCTCACTGCTTGCTCCGCAACACCCTACCCCAGGCTGCCTGTGGCCCCCTCCCTCCTCTTGCCCTTCGTCTCTTTCTCTCTCTCTCTCAATTTTCCTTCCACCTTCCTTGCCTCCTGTGTCCTGTGCAACAGCACTGCTTTTCCCTTCCTCCCTGCCTATTGCTGAGGCCAGCCCCTGGGGTCCCACACATCTCATGCTGCTTCTCTTGTGGGTGGCCCTGGGTCTGAGCCGCTGCCCCAGCAGTGCCTGGCCAGACATCTCTCATCAGCCCCAATGGCCAGCACCAGGAGAGCAGAGAGGGTGGCTCCCCGGAGCGGCACGTCTCCTGGGCCTCCCTGGGATGCACAGGAATCCTGTGTGATCACAAGGAAAGGCAGTCTCCCCCACACGTGAACGCACCTCTGTGTCAGTGAAGACTGCCCTCCCAGTCTCCCCTAGGGAGGAGGTGGCCAAACCTCACAGCAAAAGCAGAAATCCGAAGACACTGGGTCCTGGGGCTGTGCATTTTCTCTGAGTCTACTTCCTCTTCTGGACAGACAGGCTCCATTGGTGCCTGTCCCATGTGGCCTCTGGGATATTGGGAGTTATGGCTGGGGAGAGGAATGCTCAGAACCTGCAGCTACAAAAGAGCGTGGAAGAGGCGGGACTCTAAGGTGCTCCCCACCCCCAGTCTCCACAGGGCATCTAATCCCTGCAGCTGGGAGTAGCACAGACTTCACTGCCATGATGGGGTTATGTTCCATGGCGCCTAGGATCTTACGACAGGCAGATGATCTAGGTGGTCTGACCAAATCACATGGGCCCATTAAAAGCGGGGAGTCCTCTCCAGTCTGGGGCGGAGGGACAGTGGGAGAGTTCGGCTTTGGCTGGCTGGGACGGAAACCTAAACCAAGACCCACTGTGTCAGCAGAAGACAGACAGGCAGTTTCTGTGAGCCAGCAGCTGGCAGGGAAGGGGGACGCTGGTTCTGCAACAGCGAGAAATGAATTTCACCCTCAGCCTGAATGAGCCTGGGGGCAGACACTGCCCGAGAGCCTCCAGAAGGGAACGCGGCCTCATCCACAGCCTGATTTTGGTCTTGTGTGATCCTGAGCAGACAGCCCGGCCACGCCATGGCTGCACTCATGGACCAAAGAGCCACTCAGGGGAAAGCAGTGTGGTGCTTCATTGGTGGCCACAGGACACTAGAGGCAGTGGTTGCTGCAGTTAAAGAGGACAGGCAGTGCAGAACAAGACTGCCTGAGGTCAAACCTGCCTCTGTGCCTGGAAGGCAGCAGAGAGGGGGTGATGGGCTCCCGGACTCCTCATCTGAGCACCTCATACAAACAGTCTCTGGAAGAATGCTCCTTGGCATTCCAGTTAGAGAGGCATTCAGTTCCCTTTGGGGTTAAGGTACTTAGTGATTTATGACACACGCAACCAGAGAGCTGCATAAATAATGCAGAAATATTATGGTTGCATAATATTCCCTCCCCTCCAAATTCATGTCTACCTGGACCTCAGCATGTGGCCCCCGTAGGAAATGGGGTCTTCCCACGTTAGTTACGATGAGGTCACGCTGGCCTAGGGTGGCCCCCTGTAAGAAGATGCACAGACACAAGGGCAAGGGGGCCCTGTGGTGGTGGAAGCACAGGCTGGAGTGGTGCTGCCATGCGCCCAGGAACACCAAGCACGGCTGGTAACTATCAGATACCAGGAGGGAAGCAAGGATAGATTCTCTCTCAAGAACCAACCCCACCAACACCTAAATGTTGGAATTCTGGTCTCCTGAATGGTCAAAGAATAACCTTTTCTTAGTTTTAAGCTCCCCTGGTTGGGATTGCCTGTGATGGTAGACCTAGGAAACTGATGTATCGGAGCTAGTGCTATGGCATAGTGGGTAAAGCCACCACCTGCAATGTCAGCATCCCAGATGGGCGCTGGTTCGAGTCCTGACTGCTCTACTTCTGATCCAGCTCTTTTCTATAGCCTGGGAAAGCAGTGGAAGATGGCCCAAGTCCTTGGGCCCCTGCACCCATGCGGGAGACCAAGAGGAAGCTCCTGGCTCCTGGCTTTGAATCAGTGCAGCTCTGGCCATTGTGGCCCATTGGTGAGTGAACCAGTGAATGGAAGACCACCCCCCCCCCCCAAATTCTCCTTCTCTCTCTGTGTAGCTCGGACTTTCAAATAAATAAATAAATAAATCTTTTTTTAAAAAAAAGAAACTGATGTATCCTCCCAAAGGGTCTTTCATATCATTTCAGGCCTCAGGATCTGCGTGACTGTGCAACGTCACCGACATGTAGGTCATGCTTCTACTCCACACACTTTGCTTCCGTGCCGCAAGACAAAGGCCTCTCTGCCTTGCTGCCGGACTTCGACAACGGCTCCAGGTCCCTGCAGAAGGCTCAGCTCTCTCCAGTCCCTAAAGCTCTCTAAAGCCTCAGGGCTGAGGGCTGAGGGCAGATATTTGCTCAGAGTTCTTCCTGGCCACTTCCAAGAGTGTGCCTTTCCCTCCCGGCCTAGGGTTCTAACAGGTTTCGGAGGCCTTGTTTCTGGTAAGGGCTCACTCTTGGTAGACATTCTGAGACATCTTTGTGTGGACAAGACTTTCTTTAGCTCACAATTCAGCTGTAGTTTGCATGCGGCTAACTTGGCCCCTGGTCTTGGGAATTCGCACCTCAAGCTTAGCCATCTGTGTTTGACCCCCTTTGGGTAGTTCCTTCGCATTGTCCCAGCTGGCGCTGTCCAGGTGCCATGAAGTTTGTTCTGTTGGTGCAGCGCCAGCATTGCTGAATCTTGACTTGTGCATAGCAGTGTTTCATGCTCCGCCATGGAGCAAAAACTTGCCTCAGGAAGTGACATCAAGCCTTAAGTCTCAACGGCATATTCCTTCCAGAAGTCATTATTCCTTCTTCCCTTAGAAAGGGAAACCGTTTCCATAGAACATAAGTGCAATAATATTCATAGCAGAAAACTTGGTAAGGAAGAAGGCACAAGCCACCACTCAGGAATAATCAGTATTAATATACTGAAGAACTTCCTTCTGATTCTCCTATGTTATGTTTGTTATGTTATGTTATGTTATGATTCTCCTATGTTAATACACCATGTGTGTATTAAATGTATATTTAGTTGTTTTTAAAGTACATCTATTTATACTCATTTCAGAGTGAATTATTGCATTGGCTACTGCTATTGTATTGGCATTTTAGCCTCTGCTTCCTTTGTAGTTTAGGAGTAGCAGTTGACCTATTTCCTATTTTTTTTTTTTTTTTGAAGATTAGCTCAGGGACCAGCGCTGTGGCTTAGCCGATAAAGCCCCCACCTGCAGTGCCGACATCCCTTGTGGTCACTGGTTCGAATCCTGATTGATCCATCTCTCTGCTATGGCCTGGGAAAGCAGTAGAAGATGCCCTGAGTCCTTGAGCCCCTGCAATCATGTGGGAGACCCGGGAGAAGCTCCTGACTCCTGGCTTCAGATCGGCGCAGCTCTGGCCATTGTAGCCATTTAGGGAGTGAACCTCTGGATGGAAGACCTCTCTCTCTTGGCCTTTGCCTTTTTGTAACTCTGCCTTTCCAATAAATAAATCCTTAAAAAAAAGAAAGATTAGCTCATCATTCTACCACGTTTCTTGCTGGGTTGGTTCTCTTTTCTCTTAGTTTCTGATGTTTCTGTTGCTTCTTGGAAGAATTTTACTGGGAGGAGGCACCTCTCAGGCTACTTGCTGAACTAAATTCCCGCAGGTCCTCACTTTTCTTTGCTTTACAAATGAAGAAATGCAAGAAGTGTCAGAGAAAATGACTAACAGGCCTGCGATTAGGGACAGAGCTGGGATACATTCCATCTCCACTGAAGGTGGCGCTGACTGGCAGCCGAGATTCTGAAGTTGAAATGAAAGAAGGCCAAGGACAACGCATTCTGCCTCATCTGTGTTTTCTGTAATCGCTGTGCCCATGGGCTTCAAACCTCAGCTACAAGTGGATGACCCCTGCTGCTGGGTCAGAGAAGGCCCCGCAATGGACGCCGGGGCGGGGGCCGGTGGCCCACACGCTGCAGTGGGTGACAAGCTCTTGGAGAGAAATGGCAGCACAGGTGCCTGTCACACAGCTTTTCCCACCCAGTGGCTCAGAAACAGCCACTAAGGGCAGCAGACTCCCTGCCGCAGCCATGGCGGCTATGAACCCATGGGACGCCTTGGCGCACAGTAGCAGGGACCCCTCCATGGGATGATCAGGGGATCAGTCTGAAAGGGGGCGCCCAGGTGGCATCTCCACCCTCACCTTTAGCTGCACAAAGCAGGCCACGCCCTCCAGCACAGCCACCACTTGCCATGATGTCCCCTTCCCAATACAGGTCTTTTCCATTTCAAAAGGGAGTTGAGCTCTTGAGAGACCCATGCACTGCTGGTGGTGAGGCTGGGCCCCTCCAGGTTTTGGAACTAGATAGACCGGCTTCAAGGCATCGCCCAGAATAACAGCTTGGGTCCGAGGGAAAGCCAGGGCTCCAAATATGGAAGCAGGAGGCAGTGAGGCTGCTCAAGAGGCAAAGGGAGCATGAGCGGTCCCAGTCCCTGTGCACTTGGAGCACACACGCCCTGTCTCCCTGCACCAACGCTGCATGGGACAGGAAGGGCCCAGCAGCACCCAGCGCCTGCTGAGCTCCTCGTTGGCCTGTTGGGTCTTCCAAGCAGGTCTCCTGGTGGCCCAAAGGTGACCCTTACCTTCTGTTTTGATCCTCAGAGCTGTCCTGACCAGGGCAAACAGGGTGGCGTTGAACATGACCGTCCCGTCACTGTTCAGAGGCATGTTCATGGAGACCAGGCGCTGGAGGGGAAGAGGAGGCAGAGCTGGCGACCACAGCAGGCAGGTGGTTCTCAAAGGGCCTATAGAACCGTGAGGGCTGGGGAATGCTGGGAGGGTATGAGTGTGGGTCAAACTGAAATGTATTCAAAGTCTTTTCTGGGGAGCATCTTGGCTCAGGCAGGGATGGAATGCACCCCCGTTAGACGCTCTCTCCCTCGGAACAACGTTAAGCCTCCCCTGCCCTGCCTAGCTGTCTGCTCTGACAGACAGCGTGCTCTCCGCTGCGACAAAAGACAGCTGCACACCAGGCTTTCGCAGGGTGCCCGCCTGCCAGGCAGCATTCATCCAAAGCCCAGAGAAGACAAACGGAAACAGGAGGCTCCTCGGAGGAGATGCACTGCTTCCTCTTTCTGACTACTGACAAGCATACCTCCACATCCAGCTGGACCAGGATCATCTCCCCAACTTCCCTCCTTTCACCCCAAAATGCGCTACTGTTGCAAGGTGTCACAGCACACACAGGGGTCAGGAGGGTTGCATGAAGCTCATTACAGCATCTGTGCAAAGGGAGTGGTCAAAGACACTATTTGTCAGCTCCCATGGTGGCCTCCTGTTAATCTTAGCACTGGAGGGGTTATAATTTTCCTCAGTGACTGGACCCTGTGACCCTCACAGAACTGTATAGCGGGTTAACTGGGAAGCTTTGAGCCCAGCACAGCCTGCCCAGACTCACTGGGAGGTCAGCAGGGCTGGGCTTCAGCCTTGGCCACAGGGCACTCTTCTCTACTCTTATTTTCCATCATGTTTTAGCTTTAGCTCACATTTAATTTTGATTTGGGGAAACGTACAATCTTTTCGAGTGAACCTTCCACAAGTGGATTATCTACAGAGTTGAATCTTTCTGCCGTCTGTGTTTCTTCCTCTCTACAGCTCTCTGACTCTACCCCCTCTTCTTTGGTGCTTGGTTTCTGACCCAGCACGGGGTGTTAGAATGGTGACAATGGGAGTGACATGGCAGCTGGAATTACAGGGGAGAGTATGGGGGTGACTCTCTCCTGCTGTTGGGCCGCATGGTGTGCCTGGGTGCACACATGTAGGGGGTCTCACGCTCAGGACAAGTGATGTGTCTAAAAATGAGGATGTTTGTCTTAACCTTTTTTTGGTCTTGGATTCATTCAGGAATCTGATAAAAGTGATAGAGCCCCTGCCTGGTAAGGATGTTGAGTGTTTTACTGCTTTTGCATACATTTTAGGGCTTCACAAATGTCTGAAGCCAATGCATGGCTCTCAGATGGCAAACAAAACAAAACAAACAAAAAACCTCCCAACCTGTGCACTGCGGACTAGGAAGTTTCTGGTACTATGGTTTGGATTTCCCCCAAAGGCTTATGTCAATGGCACTAAGAGGGTGGGAATTTGATCCAGTCAAAGGTTTAGAGGTGGCATCTGGGGAGGTGATTGGATTGGATGAGGCCATGATTGAGTGATGATGGCCCTATAAGGAGAGACATAGAAGACACCTCTGTGCTCCTTATTGCCATGTGGTGCTCTGCACCGCCTTGGGCCTCTGTCAGCGAAAACTCCTCCAGATTTCAAACCAGCTGGGCCGCTTGGTCTAGGACTGTGAGCCTTCAAAAGCATGAGCCAAAATAAACCTCTTTCCTTCATAAGGAAATCCACCCAAGATGCCCAGGTGACCCAGCCTGCTGAGCTGACCAAGTCTTTTATTCAGGACGGGGTGCAGAGTCCACTCAGACTTAGGGCATTCACTCAGTTGTGCCTCAACAGAGTCTAGAAGGACCCGTAAAATCTAACCTGCCCCAGACTTACTTTTTTTAGGTCCAAAAAATATTATCTTTATTCACTCAAAGGGTTACAAGACAAACAGCATCTTGCCCCTCCTATTTTCTCATTTGCCAATGAACTCAGGTCGTCTCTTACTTTGCAAGCCACACGGTGAGGGCACAGCTTCCCAAAACCCAGTGGGGGCTGAATCCGCCGGAGGAGGGTCACCACATCCAGGTGTTTGATACGACCCCTAGAAGAAGAAGAAGAGAGGAAGAGCCATCAGAGGGCCCCAGAATCTGCCAGCACCCCAGGAATCACAGGTCCCTGAGAGTTAGGGGCCCATGTATGGGAAGAACTCTCCATGGTGGAGCCCTACTGGCCATGCACAACTGAAAGGTAAAACTCCCAAACCAATACAAAGGTGTTTAGATTTTAATGAACAATTTTGTGTCAGTGCTATGTTCAAGGTGGAAGGGATTTTAGCACTGCAATTAAATTCTCAATATGTGCTTGCTGCTTCAATCACCTGACAATATGACCAAAAGGTATTTAGTGAGTGTGAAGCAAAGGTGACTGACTAATGAGAGTGTTCTTAGACCTGAAGCAAGAATAGAACAGAGCTCTACTTGACTTATGAAGCTGTGATGTCCTAATAAACTGATCACTAGTAGAAAATACTGTAAATCAACAATGCACTTAACATACCTAATCTACCAAATGTCGCTTAGCAAATTCGTGACATGGTACATTGTGGAGAACTCTACCACCAGGTAGAGATTGTGTCACTGCTGGAAGCTGCACTGTCTGCTGCTGCCTAGCACTGATAAAAGGGATCCTACTGACTACTGCTGGCCCAGGAAAAGAGCAAAATTCAAACTTTGAAGTATGGTTTGTACCCAATGTGCATCACTTTTGCACCACTGTAAACTTGAAAGATCATTAAGCCAAGCCATGGTAAGCTAGGGACCATCGGTCCTTGGTATTCATTCCTGACACTAGGATCCCCTATCCATCCACTCAACTGCAGGTGATGGTTGTGTTTCAGACTCAAAGGTACTTGGCCTCCTCTTCTCTTGATGGCCCTTGGCCCTCCCCTCTGAGGTCTGGTGCAGTTCAGCGTTTCCAGTGCATGCACCTGGTGTTGACCTGTGTTGAACCCTTCTGCAGATCTGGTCCCTCACTCCACTCTCTCAGTGTGAGACATCAGGCTTTCCTATGGACACTCACTTGGCTTCAGGGTCATACTCTGCCCAGATTCTTTTAAATTCATCCAGATGGTGGGGACCAAGGATTGACCAGTCCCTTGTCAGGTAGTCAAAGTTGTCCATGATGACAGCTACAAAGAGATTGATGATCTGCAGAGAACAAGGAGTAAAATGAGGCACTTGAAGAGGACTTTCCTACACCCTTGCCTCTTGAATCTACCTTGCCAGCTAGTGCCCTTGCTCAGCAGAAGCCAAAATCTCTAAATCCCAGCATCATGTCGCCATTTAAACAGCAGCTCCTAGATCCTATATCTCTTGGACATAAACTTGACCTGGCTCCCCTGAGAGTTGTATGTAATGAGCCCACATGTAGGCTGGACATCTTCCCTTACACCACGTTGCTGGGACAGGCTATCTTCTTTTCCTCACTCCTCAGCAAGGTTCCAAAAGAGTGTAAGCTCCCTCTAGGCCTCCATACATCACTTCTGTCCTCTGGGACAACCCCACCAGGACAAGAGCCAAGAATGGACAGAAAGATGCTGGCTGAACTTGCTCTTGCTCTGGCCCAGGGCTTCCTGCCTGTATCTTTGTGTGGCTGGGCATTCCTAAGAAGTCAGCTTCTCTGATGGGGTTACCCTGATCATGAGCTGCAGAGACCAAGGTGCTGGGCTGCCCCGTCACTGTTGAGTCCCTCCTTGGCTTACCAGGAAGGCACAAAGCATGTAGAAGCTGATGAAGTAGAAGACGGCGAAGCTGCTGCCGCAGGGGGTCTCCCCTTCTGTGCTGTTGTGGGGCTCAGACTCTGGGGCACACTTCTTGCCTGGCATGCAGGCCAGCATGATATCCTGCCAAGCCTCCCCCGTGGCACACCTGAGGGAGAGGTGAGAGAACCCAAGATCCCTAAAGCCAACCTCACTCACAGATGCAGCTGGAGCCCCCCTGCCCCCTCCCCATGGGGAATTATTGAATGAGTGTGAATGCTCTGATGCAGTCATAAAAGATGAAAATATATAGCATAATTCTGAGTGTTCTGAAGTTTTAAACAGCGACACATTATACCTTTTCTATAAACTCATCCTTTTTGCTATCAGTGTTAAATTTTTGAGGTTTAGCCATCTGGGTATATTTTAGCTCTAGTGCCTTCATATTAGCTGCTATATAGGAGTACAGTCTATAAACACAGCATTAAGAAAATCCAGAAGTGGGTATTTGGCTTAGTGATTAATTAAGGTATCTGCTTCCCACAGCAGAGTACCCAGGTTTGGTAGCCAACTCCAGCTCCTGATTCCAGCTCCCTGCCAATGCAGACCCTGGGAGGCAGTGGTGAGGGCTCAAGTGATTGGGTTCCTGCCACCCATGAGAGACCTGAATTCAGTTCCTGGCTCCTAGCTTTGGCCTTGGCCCAGTCTTAGCTGACTGTGGGTATCTGGGGAATGAACCAGCACATGGGAGCTCCTGCCCTATCTGTCTCTGCCTCTCAAATTAATTTTTAAAAAATCTACCTTCCTGTTAAGGGATGTTTAGAATTTTGTTTTTAGTTTTATTTATTTATTTGAAAGACAGAATGATAGAGAAGGAAAGACAGACAGACCTTCCACCTGCTGATTTACTACCCAAATGCCCACAACAGCATGGGCTGGGCCAGGTCAAAGTCAGGAGCCAGGAACTCCACCCAGGTCTTCCACATGGGTGGCAGGAACCTAAGTACAAAGTCCATCATCTGAGACCTCCCAGGCTCATTAGTAGGAAGCTAGATTAAAAGTGGAGGTTGAGGCTGGCACAGCGGCTCACTAGGCTAATCCTCCACCTTGCGGCGCCGGCACACTGGGTTCTAGTCCCGGTCGGGGCGCCAGATTCTATCCTGGTTGCCCCTCTTCCAGGCCAGCTCTCTGCTGTGGCCAGGGAGTGCAGTGAAGGATGGCCCAAGTGCTTGGGCCCTGCACCCCATGGGAGACCAGGATAAGTACCTGGCTCCTGCCATCGGATCAGCGCAGCACGCCGGCCGCGGCGGCCATTGGAGGGTGAACCAACGGCAAAGGAAGACCTTTCTCTCTGTCTCTCTCTCTCTCTCTGTCCACTCTGCCTGTCAAAAAAAAAAAAAAAAAAAGTGGAGGTTGAACTTGATCCCAGGCACTTCAATATGGAATTGCAAGCATCTCAAGTGGTGGCTTAACCCACTGTGCTACAACGTGCCCCCGCCCCCTTTTCTATTACAAACAACACTGAAATAAACGTGCACACTTTAGGTATCTGTTTAGAAGTGGAACTGCTAGTTGAAAGTACATGTGTCTTCACCAGTACCAGGCATTTCTTACTCTCCAAGTGTTTTTCCAGTTTCGACTCCCATCATCAGTGTGGAGATGTGTTATTAGAGATGCATCAACTTGTGGTATTAGTAGTGAATTCTAAAAAAATGTCATCCATACAGTAAGTGGCAATGATATTTAATGGCTGTTTTAAAATGAATCGAGAATTTTATCTTCAGTTAAACTGCATGTTCATATTTTGGGTTGTTGGACTCTGGGTTATTTTGGTTGTTCAATTTGTAGGATCTTTTATATTTTCTTCATATATTCATCCTTTGGTAATTATATGCATTACAAGTATCCTCCTCCAGTCTGTGGCTTGCCTCTTGCTCTATTTGTAGCATACTTTGGTGAATCTAAGTCTTAAATTTCAATGTAGCCAAATTCCTTCTTCTTTATTCCTTTTTTTCACCTACATTTTATGCTTTTTGCATCTTGCTTAAAAACCCCATTTGGTGGGGGGCAGCATTGTAGCATAGCAGGTAAAGCCATTGCCTATGATGCCAGCATCCTGTATGGGTACCAGTTTGAGTCCAGGTTGACCCACTTCCAATCCATTTCCCTGCTAATTCATCTGGGAAAGGAGAGGAGGATGGCCCAAGTGCTTGGGCCCATGTACCCATGTGAGAGACCCAGAAGAAGTTCCTGGCTCCTGGCTTCAGTCTTGTCTAGCCCTGGCCATTGCAGCCCTTTGGGAAGTGAACCAGTAGATGGAAAAAATCTCTCTCTGTCTCTCCCTTTCTATAATTGTGCCTTTCAAATAAATAATAAATCTTTTAAAAAAATCCTTCCCTATTCTAGGTCACAAAGGTATTTTCCTCTACATTTTTCAAAAGGTTCTAAAGTCTTATTTTTCACACTAACTCATAAACCTGAATTATATTTTTGTGTTCAACATTAGGTATGCATATGCTTTTATCTTTCTGAATAATTAATTTTCCGAATACTATTTACTGAATGGCACACCTTTACTTACTGATTTGAGATATCTCTTCTTATATAAATTGTATTTCTACAGATGCCTGGGTCTTGTGGCAGCCTCTGTTGCAATGCATGGGCTTCCTTGACTGTTCCTTTTTTTTTTTTTTTTAAGATTTATTTATTTTTTGAGAGGTCAAGTTACAGACAGACAGAGGGAGAGACAGATAGGTCTTCCAACTGCTGGATCACTTCCCAAATGGCCACAATGGCCAGAGCTGGGCCAATCCAAAGCCAGGAGCCAGGAGTTTCTTCCAGGTCTCCCACTTGGGTGCAGGAGCTCAAGCACCTGGGCCACCTTCCACTGCTTTCCTAGGCCATAAACAGAGAGCTGGATGGGAAGAGGAGCAGCTGGGATACAAACCAATGTACATATGGATGCTAGCATCCATAACCTACTATGCCACAGTGCCAGCCCCTCCTCATCTGTCTTAACACCAGGATTCTACACTGCTGTGGGGAGCAACTCGGACTAGACTAAGTTACTGGAATTAAGACATTCTATGCATCTGCTCTCCCACAATATGGCGCTGGGAGAGGAGTAAACAACTTCTACACAGCTGCCTCTCGCCAATTTGATTGAGCTGCAGGAGCTGATCCTGCTCCTGATTGGAGGAGAGCGGCGTGCTCGGCATGTGGGTAGCAGAGTTGGGATTGGCGGAAGAGGACTATAAAGGAGGAGAGAGACAACATGCACCAGGAACATCCGGATAACATCTGAGCAGCCCCCGAGAGAGCCGGCTGGTGGTGTGCCGCTCCCCCGCGGAAGTGGGGAAAGTGGCAGGGGGAACCGCCCCTCCACGGAGGTGGAGGGGTCGGCAGCCAACCCGGGAAGGACCAGCAGCAAACCCGGGAAGGGCCGAGCAGACAAAAGAACAATGCAGGGTTTAGTGTCGTTCCTCCACGAAGAGGGGGAGCGACACACTGCCCCCACTTGCTGCCCTGGGAGAGCTCCAGCTTGCTCTTCCAAGTTTGTCCTAATGTTAATTTTTCTTTTCAATGCCACAGACACATTAGCAATGGAGCGTCAATTTCTATGAATGAAACTGTTGATAATCGTAATAGAATTTCATTAAAACATAGATTAACTTGGGGAATCCTGACATCTTTGTGCTATTAAATCCACTGTGGTATACCTCTCCATGTAGTTTGACTTCATCGGTTTTTAAAGTTTTTACAAAATTTATTTACAAACTTTTTACAAAATTTGTTAAGTTATTTTTAGGTATCTGTTGCACACTGTAAATGGTCTAGTTTAAGAGTTGTATCAGTTTGTTGTTGATGGAAAGAAAACAGAATCGATGTCTTATACACAGGCTAAATAAACTCTACTCCTAGTTTTAAGTTTTCTGTAGTTTCCGTATTTTCTGCAGTTGTATATTCTACCATGGCAATCAGGTTTTGCCATTTAATTTTGTTTTTTCCTCTCCAATTCTTATCATTTGGTTTAGTTTTTCTCATAGTATGGGGTAAGACTTGCAGTACCATGTTGTCTTTATTCTATTAGTATCCTATTAATTGTGTTAAAGTGTTTTCAGTTGATTTGCATGAATTTTCTACTTGCATTATCCAACAAACAGCAGTTACGCCTCTACGTTTTCGTATGTACAACCTGCGTTTTTTTCTCATTTTTTGTCGGCATCAGTGTGTGCTGATGAGCAGGGAGGTGTCCCCGTCTCTCTTTCCTGGAGAGCTCAGGTGACACAGGGATGGCCTCGTGCTCGACAGTCTGGTAGGCTCCACACAGGAAAATATTGGCTCTTGGGTCTTTTTGGAGGCTGAGACTTTATCTTTTCAATTTAAATTTATTCTAAGGATTTTTGTGATTCCTATTTTCCTATACAAAAGTATCCACTTCATTTAGATTTCTTAATGTATTGACATAAATTTGTTCATAATACTCTCTATCTCTCTTCTGTTTTTTCTTAAATTTTTATTTATCTTTTTGAGAGAGAGAGAGAAAGAGAGAGAGAAACAGAGAGAGAGAGAGTATCCTATCTGCTGGTTCACTCCCCCAAACGCCTACAGTGACCATAGCTGGGCCAGGCTGAAACCAATAGCTAGGAACTGAATCTGGGTGTCTCATGTGGGTAACAAGAACCCAAGTCCTTGCACCAACACTGCTGCCTTCCAGGGTCTGCATTAGTGGGAAAATAGAGACAGGATCTGGAGCCAAAAATTGAACATAGCTACTGGTTATGATGTCATAACCAGCAGGTTAAAAAGTCTGCCACAGGATGGTTAATAGTAGTAGTAGTAGTAGTAGTAGTTTGTTTTTGAGGGTTGATCTTATTTATTTGTTATTCCTAGGAAACCTTATTTTTGACAGGACTCATACTCAGAGACCAAGGTTCTCAGAGAAGACAGCCTCCATCTCTTGACAATTTTCCCATGGCATTTTTCTTCGGTTTCCATTCTCTGGGCCAAAAGTTTAACACATCCTTTGGGCTCTTCCTTCTGTCATGGTGTGCACTTTTTCTTGGTGCATGCCCCTGTGTCTCTGCTGCGGGACATGTACAGTAACAAGACATGAGACTTACGTGCATTTTTCCTAGGCTTTTTCCAGTCTTTGTTTAGCGGCCTCTG